ATGCTCCTCATCCGAGGAAGCTTTGTATACTCTCTGAGGCAGGGATTGTACCTGTTTGCCCTTTTTCAGTGGTGCTTTGCCTTTGTTAGGCTTCTGTTTGAACCCTTCGCCCTTTCGCTAGGCTTGATTTGTTCCTTGGAGGATGAGTCAGAATCATCCTATATCTCTCTCGTCTGACGTTGAGAGCGCTTGGGGAGAGACTATGGCGGGTCTTGGATAACTGGCATCGCCTTGGCTAAGGCCTTTTCAACCAAAGCACCCACTGCCGCATTAATAAGGGCCTGCAGGTCTCATGGCATTTGGGACTCTTCCATAGTAATATGACTCCCTTGGGGTTTACCCCAATTAACAGTGAACTGTGAGGTGGATAGGCACGTTGCGGTAAATAGTCAGCAGGGACCACTAGAGGTTATAATGGCCGATAATATATGTGGCCCACTTATAGGCAGGCAAGTTCTGGGGCTCACCTAGAAATAAAGACTGTGTGAACAGCTCCTTCAGCAGCGCCAGTAAAAAAAGGGGGCTCATGCCAAGCCGGAGTACTATGTAATAAACCTGATCGGCTAACCCCTCCTAAAGTTTGCACTAGCCTATAGCAGGTCCCTGAGACAGGCAGTAAATGAAAGGCAGGTAGTGGAAGAAATTCATCCACATAGTTGAAAACTCCAATACACACTCAGGGTTTAAAATGTCTGAGTGTGTATTGGAGGTTTTTGCAAAATCCAAGATGGCCATTGAAAAGCCTGCAAATCTGCAATAGGGTTCACGGGAAAAACCCGCAAACAAAATAGACAAAAAAAAATATGGTATGCATTTTTCCCCTAAACAGTTCCTTTAAGATTTCCCAGGGCCCTACGCAGGACACCAGATCGGGGATCCCTCCAAAAGTCCTGGGAAATCATGCAGACACTGCATTCACACAGAAGCCTACATTCACAGCTCACACCTTCAAACATGCTTACATTCTCAAACTCACAGGTCCACAGTTATAAACACCGTGATCTGCTGCAGGCTGTACAGGGTTCTCCCTACCCTTCTGTGCAGCTGCCTTCTTGTGTCAGGAGAAAGTGAGCGGACATCACTTAATCTCAGTGCTGCCGCGAAAGGATGGTAATGGGGGGCGCACTGTGCCCTGGTGTTCTTACAATGATATATAATATAATGTGCAGGAATGGCATATAGTTTCTAAAACGAAGGGTAATATTATTGCCATTAATGAGTCTTTTGAATCTTGTGAATACTCTACAGGTATGAGACCCACTGATTTTGAGAACTTGATGGGTGAAAAGCATCATACTCCTCAGTTTGAAGATGGCGATTTCTTTAAAAAAGAAGAATCCTCTGTTGAAGCTCTGTTGAGCATCGAGGCCACAAAACAAAGCAAACCAGTTGCAGCCCAGCAAGAGGAGGATGAAGAGGAGGAGGAAGAAGTCGATTTTGATCCTCTGGGGATTATCAAGTGAGTAAAACACCTGACTGTAAATAATTTATTTTAAAAATTTAGGTCTCTCGTTGTATATACCTGGTTTGAAAAAAATCCATGTGTAATGCTTAATCTTTGTATTTTATTTTTTCAATAAATGAGAAAAAGCTTATTTTGATGGACACACGTCTCTTTTCAGTCTATGTAGCCATGAAACAGCCATGCAGCCTGGCCTCATTAGGAAGCCTATAGGGGGTCAGCGAAGAGCTGCAGGGACATTAAAAGTAATAAAATATAAACAAAACATTTGATTGACTACCTGTATTCTCTCAGTAGTTCTTCACATCCCGCTGTTGCTAAATGAGTTGGACATTCCATTTCGGAATAGGGTTCTTAAGGATTATTTTGTGAGGACAATATATACCATCATTGTTTTAAAGGACAATTGTCAGCAAATTTGTGCTTTTATTACATTTAATGAAATGATTTGTGTGTGTTATGTGTGTATATATATTTATTTAAAAAAAAAAAAAAAAAAGATTTCTATCTGGCTGAACAGCTTTGTTGGGTTTGATTCTACTATTGTCTGATCATCTGCTTATCAACCTAACATACCTTCTCCTGCAGATTCCCACAAAGCAATGATGGTATTGCCCTATCTGCTGCATCAAGCAGCCATGTATATCTGTGTGTGTCTGCTGGCCCCCTTTCCACTGTACCCCTCCCCCCCCCCTTGCCCCTGAAGCATTTAACAACATTTATGTTTTCTGTGATATTTCTTTGTCCCCAGTCTACCCCCTTCATCCTTGGACATACAAACACACCCCTACAATTAAACATTACATACAAACACACCACTGCATTAAAACGCTAAAATTATATACAAACAATCCTTTGATGTAATCAGATGTAACTTACTTTAAAGTGTGTATCTCCTGTTCTGTAAATTAAACTTTAGTTACATTTAGGAGGCTCCTGCAGGGGGTAACAAACTATTAACAGAAAAAATAAGAAGCATGACATTTCACATTAAACAGAATTTGCAATAAGGAAGTGTAAACATTAGATGACTCTTTACAGGAAGTGTTTAGGAAGGCTGTGTAAGGGATGTGCCTAGGGCTGCATAAACAAAGTGATTTAACTACTAAATGGCAGAGAATTGAGCAGTGAGACTGTAGGGGCCTGACCTATACACCAAAACTGGTTCACTAAGCTAAAGTTATTTTGGTGACTATAGTGTTCCTTTAACTGACACATGCATATATTTTTAGAGATGTTTTAATAGTTGAGAAGTATCATCATAGCCAACAGGAAGCCAAATATGATATTTCCAATCCTAGTGAGACACTCACAAATTTTAATTAGCTTTTTTTCATTTTAGAATTATATTCATGAAATATTCTTCTCTTTCGTAGTAGCTGCAATACTTTGATAAGTGTGGCATTGAAATACTGTTGTGTTAATAATTAATAAATAAATAAATAAAAGTTTAATAGCTCTGAATAGGGTGTTTTGGCATATAATGGGAATTATTTCTCTACAGTGCTTCATTCAGTATTGCCACATGAGGGAGCTGCAACCCTTTCATTGCAATACACGCTGTAACTGCAAGAAATGTTGCATAACTAAATAAGGTAGGGAATTAAGTAACACTTATTACTTCCACATGAGGGCACTGTAACACTGTGCAATATTTGGAAAGACAAACGCCAAGCGTTACCATAATGATACTTAATTACTATTATGACAAGGATAATTATCTGATCGCTATGTGGAAGCTGCAATTAGTGTGTTGTTGTTGTGATCACTTTCTTTATAAAGTACCCACATATTCAACAAACACCTAATACTTTCATTGCTATATTAACAATGAACCATGGAATAGATACTAGCTAATTCCCTTTAACTTGTCACAATGCCGCAGATTCTCACTGATATCCCACAGCAAAATCTCTTTTGCAAAAGCAGACTTGTACAAATGCACTGACAATGAAGGGTTAAAGCAAGACTGTTAATTAGATTTTATTTAAATATTTGCAGGACCCTGTGTTTTATTCATTTATTTTATTTATTTTTTAAATCATTTTTAAAATGTGCTAATTTTTTTGTTTCATTTTGTAGTCTTGTTTTTTTTGTTTTTGTTTACATATTTTGGGTACTGGCTAGTGATGTCCCGAATTGTTCGCGAACGGTTCGCCACAAACGGTTCATCGTGGACTCCAGTCAGCAGACACATTCCAGCCAATCAGCAGCAGACCCTCCGTCCCAGACCCTCCCACCTCCTGGACAGCATCCATTTTGAAGCTGCATTCTTAGTGAGCTGTCCAGGAGGTGGGAAGGTGTGGGAGGGAGGGTCTGCTGACTGGAGTCCGCCGCGAACCGTTCGGGACATCACTAGTACTGGCTAAAAAAAAAAATACTTATGAGCTGCTAATTATGATTATTTTTTATTTTATTATTTATATAGCGCCAGCAAAATTCCGTAGCGCTGTACAAAGGGTGGACTAACAGACACGTAATTGTAACCAGACAAATACATGTACAGGAACAGAGGGGTTGAGGGCCCTGCTCAATGAGCTTACATGCTAGAGGGAGTGGGGTATAGTGACACAGAGGGTATAAGTAGGGGTAATTAAATAGGTTGCTAGAAAAGTATTCACTGGAAAGGGTATTTTTGACAGTTGCAGGAGAGGAGTCATGGGGGGAATAAAAAGCCACTTTTTAATTGATATGCTTTCTTTAAGAAGTGTGTTTTCAAAGATTTTTTGAAGGAGTGGAGACTGGGTGAAAGTCTTACGGAGAAGGGAAGGGAGTTCCACAGAAAAGTGATATATATATCTCAAATATGTATTGCTTTTTCTAATATATAATATTGGTCTTTTCAGAGTAAAATGTTTAATTATACATTAAGCATACTCACATGCAGACACAGATAATCAATGTCACCGATATACATAAGCTCATTGGCATAAAAACACAAGCTCACTCACTCACTAGCAGGCACACACACACGCAAGCAAGCTCACTCACAAGCAGGCGCGCGCACACACACACACACACACACACACACACAGCTTAATGTAGTGGTTCTGGTGTCTATAGCTTGTCCCTGTAGGCTTTTCAATGTAAACACTGACTTTTCCGAGAAATGTCCTAATGACACCTCTAGAGGTCACTCAGTCACTAGAGGTGCTTCCTGTGTCAGTGCTGCACAGTTTGATTGCACAGTGTGCAGCACCTACATTCAGGGCCTTTGCAGCCAATCCTATGGCAGGGCATTGGATTGGCTGAGATCATCAAGCTTGATGATCTCAGCCATAGAGGCAGGGCCAGTCGAGGGGAGACCAGCACGGCGTGAAAAAAAAAAAAAGGGGAGTAAAAACACTTTTTAAATACACATACACCATGACACAGACACAGACATACACCATGACACAGACACACACACCCACCATGACACAGACACACACACATACACTCACACTGACAGAATGACACATATTACCTGTGAGTGACCGGCTGGGTCTGCTGGCAGCCGCTGGGGAGGTCTGCTGGCGGCCCCTTAGGGGGTCTGATGGCGGCCCGCTGGGGGAGCTGTTCTGTCTCTGCTCCCCTGCCCTCGCAGCTTAATGAGACCGGTCCCGGTCTCATTAAGCTGCGCGCTGGGGAGCAGAGACAGAACAGCTCCCCCAGTGGCCACCAGCAGACTCAGGTGTCTGCCCGTCCCCAGGTGCCGACGGCCCACCGGGAAATTTCCCAGTATCACAGTGGGCCAGTCTGGCCCTGATACTACATTAACTTGGCTTAAAGGGCACAGGGTGAATAATAATCAAATGAAAGGTACAATTATAAAAGGAATAAATCTTTCATATACACTGTAGCTGCAATGTAATTAGATGCACTACAAGGGGCTAGATTTTAATTTTTTTGTATATAGGAATAGTGCGATCAAGTAGTTTGACATTATGGAGCAAATGCACTTTAAACATAGTCTTTTTATTTTACTTTTAATATAAAATTGCACCCGTCAGATGGTTCTGAAAGTTTTTAATTTATACACAGTGTCTGTGTTTCCGTATATGAAGATAAATTCTTCTAAAGTCACGGGCTAGGGACCAAAAATAAATGGTGGGAGTACGTCACTGTGGTCCTCACAGGATGATAGGGATGGTTTCTCTTATGTGTTTATATATACAATTATATAGGCTTATTCACTGTTATTCTAAATTACTCTGTACTGAAAAGGGCAAAACCATATATGGCTGTGTATGGGGCCATTCTGATTCCAAAATGCAGACATTGTTCACACTTTTTAACAATGTCCAGAATTTGAAATTTAGGCTCCGAATAAGACTGAAATAGGTCTGGATTTCAGCCAGACCAAACTAGAAACGTCTCTTCTCATGGGGATGGGACCTGCACATTAACAGGGAGGAGGAATAGTGCCCACACCAGTGAAGGTTTTACATTTAAATAAATAAAAAAAAAACCTGTGGGGTTATCCTAATATTCACCACCCAATCAGAGCCCTTTGGCAGTTAAGTCTCACTTCTCTTGACATTTGCTTTGGGAATGTTCGCACTTGAAGTAGTCCTTAATTTGCAAAAAGCAAGTGCATGCTAATTTGCGAATGTGCGTCTTGCTGGAGGCATTCAGTTCAGATTTTGGTCAATATTGGTGCTTGTAAATCTAATCTTATACCATGTATAAAAAGCACTGATTTTAATCGAGACATCGAATGCATCCAGACAATTGCTGCAGATTCGCTCAACTCACCCTAATTCCGACCGTATTTGGCTTTAATGAACATAATAATTACCATTGCTGTCGTAATTCTGTCATTTGCCCCGGATTTGTCCATCCGGACAAAATTCAGTGTTTAATGAATAACCCTGTAAGTTTAATTATCAAATAGAAATTCACACTTCTTTATCCTGCTACTGGATGCCTCCATATTGGCTCCCTGTCCATTTCTGTTATAAACTCTGTCCTTCGTATTTGAAAGGCAGTGCAGACACAGATGAGAAAAGAAACAAAGTTTTGTTCCTTCTATTCATTTGCAATGCATGTGCTGGCTAGGCCTGGACCAAACTGGATGTAATAACTTAAATGCCTCATTTGAAATAAAGTTTAAAGTAAATGGGCAATCACAGGAAAAGAAGGTTAATGCAAGTTATAGGTAATTTTTTAATGTTTTAATCAATTGTGTAGTTTCCAGAGATGTGAAGGTTTGCCTTGACAGTTGTGTGTTGTGATGCTTATTATATTTTGTTATGCTTCTATACTATTTAAACATCATGAGTCCTGTTCCTTAATCTATAAAGTTAAATGTAACATTAAAGGACCACTATAGTGCCAGGAAAACATACTTGTTTTCCTGGCACTATAGTGCCCTGAGGGTGCCCCCACGCTCAGGGACCCCCTCCCTCCAGACTCTGGAAAGGGATTAAAACTTACCTTTTTCCAGCGCTTTTTCAAAACATCTTGACGTAGTAGCAACACTGTTGAGATAGTGAACTATTAAATTTGATATTTTGTTTTCCAGCATTGCCATTCCCTACTATCTCCTCCTATTGATTTGGCTTTCTTCCTCTGTCTGATATGTCAAGTCCAGGAAAGTATAGCCCTGATAGTGTCATCCTAAAACTCATGGCAGCTTGCGCGAGTCTCAAAATATAGTCTGCATTGACTCAGACAGTGAGAAACTTAGCCCTGGGGTGTTAAAAGTAAATTATCAGTCTTCATTCCAGCCTCCTTTAAAACAAGAGATTAAGGTTTATTTAACTGGAATAACAACAAAAATGTGAATTCAAGTTTGTGAAATGAATGTGATGTCCGTCTCCCATGCTTCTGGTAGTGTGTTGTCACAGTGTTTTGAAATATGATTTAACTCCGCAAAGGTGATGTACAGAGAATTTACTGCACATTTTGCATGTCAAAATTTGAGATGATTTGGTTTATTCATTTTTGCTAACAATCACTGTTGGGTTTATTCACCAACTTGGGAGTTGTGGACAGTTGACTTGGATATTGTAAAATCTAGGTCAAAAGAGAAAAATCTGTAACATTCTCTAATGCAGCTATTTTGGATTACATTTTGGAACTGCCTTGTTTTGCACAATTCTAAGTTTTTAGTGAACACACTACTAATTGTGAAGTCAGGAAAACTGGAGTGAATCAAATTATCCCATAGCCCAACTTGCTCAATTACTGTTCCCCAAAATTATTAAAGAGATGGTTATTCTGGTTGGAAAAGGATTATAGTCTAAAAAATGGCTTGAAATGCATAACTAAAACAAATAAGCAGCAGGTTTCCTAGACTGTTGACAACATCAAGGACTCCATGATCTGTTCCTTCCACTTTAAACCTGTCCTAGAACTCCATAAGAGAGACTGGTCGCAAATCAACAATGAATGATAGGGATAAATGGTCACACCAGGATAAGTCCAAGATCCTTGAAAGAGTTGTGTATGTGAAATTGACAGATTTCCTCGAGTCCAACGCTCTGCTCGACCCACTTCAGTTTGCTTTTTGCACTGAGCACTCTTTGGAAATGGCTCTGACCAAAGTATCCAACAATCGACTTGTGTAAAATCTCATGCTCACTATTCTATCCTAATTCTCCTTGACCTTTCCTCTGCTTTTGACACTGTTGATCATCAACAGCTTCTTCTCATCCTCCATAATCTCTGTCTACGATATATTGTTCTCTCTCCCAGAGTTCTTTCAGTGTTTCTTTCTCTGGCTCTGCATCTTCCCCCAACCTCTCTCTGTTATCAGTCCTTGGTCTCCTACTGTTCTCGATCTGTACAGCGTCCCTTGGTAAACTCATCAGTTCTTTTGGCTTTCAATATCACTTCTATGCGGATGACACTGTGGAATTTGCTGGCGCTATATAAAAATAATAATGAGTGTTAAATGCTGTAAAAGTTCAACACAAACCTATATAAGCTGATGTAAGAATTCCAGAACTTGGCCAGTGGATGATGTAAGTTGAGTAATTTTCTTCCCCTACTTTCTACGTTTGGAGAAAGCCAAAGGATGCCTTCAACCCCTGATGTCTAATGTTTTGTAATAGACATGGTGAGGGACTCCTCAATGGTATGGTTAGATATCTGATGAGAACCAGATATTTTCACTGCATTACTATGTAACGGAATATAAAGAAATGTTATAATTACAGGGGTGCGTTCAGGATTATTTAGCGGAAATCAGTTGCCTAAACAGTTTAGATCTGTTTATTGTTTTAGAGCATAAGTAGATTTCCACCACCTTCAATCTCAAAGAGCTAGAAGCTTTTATTCTTCAATGGCGCAGTGCCTACTAGACTAACTTAAATTATTGAAAGACAATATTTTGAAAAAGTTTGAATCTCTATTGAAGCAAAGTCTAGCTCTACCAGTTCCCAGCTCCTTTTTGGTTAAGTATCTTGTATTAGGGGATATGTTTCACTCTTGGTGACTTATTACATATTAAGTGTTATTGTTTTGTATTATAATATTATACAGGCCAATGTTCAGACCCCTTGGTGTGGATATCTAGTAAGGTGGCTATGGTTTAGTGATGGCACCCTTGCACCACCTCAGCCATTCCAAATTTTTACAGTGCGTATTTTTGCATGGGCGAATTAGAACATTGTTAAGAACATCCAGCATGCAGAACCAGCATCCAGTTGTCAGGATTAAATCTAGACTTTTGGTACCTATATGTTTTTATAATATGCACATATGTGCAGGGATAAGCACACCGGCAGACAGATACATACATCCATATGTACATTTTTGGTTTTGTGATATTTTCCTTGATCTGTCGCCAATGTATTATTAGCTATTGCTATTTTAGATGCATTTTTGCAGATGAAAGGATATTGTCAGCAGTCCTAAACCTAAAAAAGAGAAGGAATAACCCGAAGAGTAAAATATAAATATTTATACAGCTGTTGAAGAAGAATACGAGGAAGTCACAGGGACACGACTGTTTCTCCCATTAGGTAACATAAATATTCTCTGGCAGGATGTAGTGTGAAGGGAAGCATGAACATAGAAATCTTAATTGTTCTTCCTCGGACTACACAGTCTTAATTGCCATATTCGGAGGCAAATCTATATGGAATGCAGTTGCTTAGGGGCAAACGTTGTTTAACCTCGAAGAGTTTATTCATGAAGGGCACATTCTTTTTTTACACTGGTATCCCAGAATTGTGAATACCAGGTATATAATGCTGCCTAGTATTGTGTAGAATTCACATGTTGCTGGAAGCAAATCCATTTATTCACCAAGAAAGTAATTCCCATGTAACTATCTTATATGATTAATAAAGAACCATAATGTCCCAGGAAATCACACCATTATATAAAATTAACTATAATTTGTATTAACCTTTTTTTCTATGTAGTGTCCTTTTTCTTACATTTACATGTATATTCAATTTATATACAATATTTAGCAGTTGTCCTCCAGTTAATTCCAGGCACAGCTAGAGTGCATAATTGCATTGGATGAGTAGAAAAAGGAGGAGAAGGAACGTAAGGAGAGATTCATCAAAAATCTGTCCTCATCTCAAAAGTGGTCCAAGATTCTAAAAGTGGAGCAATCATTGTAGAAACCCACGAAACCAGCAGGCACATTCCATTGGTGTCCACTCCACTTTTTCAAATTTGCACCACTTTTTAGAACAAAGCATTTTGGTAA